CCGCCATCCAGCTTAACCAATTAGATCGCTGCGTTCCTCAGCGAACGCGTGGTATTTGAAAATAAATAGCTCGCGTGCAGGCTCACTTTTCCTCGGACTATTAAGCCGCCAAAAATTTTCCCCGAACTCGCACAAGTAATCTTGCTCGCAGGTTATTTTCTCGGTGGGCCCGCTTATAGGCCGAACGAAAGATGGCACTCCTACAATGCAGAAACCCGCCAAAAGGCAGTTTTATTGCAAAACGGTGTTGATCTTCGTCCCAAAAAATGAATCAATAACATGATGTGAATGACAGTGTTTTTCAGTTAGTTTCTCTTTAGGATAACGCCACTTATGTTAATGGTTTGAACAATTATAGGCGCCAATACGTGCTATCCTGAAAACCTGATGTCTAATTCCTGAATTAGAAAACAGGAAGTTGTTTTAAAAAATAACTTCAACTTTGTCATGGAAGATATTGTTCATTGTGGATAATGTGTATGAGGGGTTTCGTTTATCGTTTCTCTCGCGATTGTCACTTATATATTTTTGCGGCGCGACGTTTCGTTTCAACTTTATCATCGGAAAACGTATCTACATACATACATACATATATATCCTTTATTTAAACGCGATTGGGGGTGGTGTAAAAGTAATTACAAATGAATTAAACTATATATTGAAAATGAGAATAATATTACTTACAAAATACAGCTACAATAAAAACTCTAAAAATACACAGTAAGATTCTAAAAAAAATACAATGTTAAAATGAATTTACATTTATTTAGTTACCTCTGAGTAAATGGACTACAGCATGTGAGACTTGGGGTGGCTGAATCAAATAGTTTTTAGGGTATAGTTAGCATTTTTTTTTCTCGTCAATCTTTAAACCCAACGTATTTGTATCATTGTTATTACAGACCTTAAGGTCGAGGTTGGCCATCGTCTGCCCATATTTGGGACTTTTCGATCATATAAATTAAGACTAAAGGCACTTGAATAAAGAATTTTTCAGCGTTCTTAGCATCAACGAAACTTCCAAGTCGGCCTTTAGCCCATTTTTGAACTCGGGAAGCCCGAGCAATAATATCCTGTTTGAGACAATTGGAAGGTGCATTAATTTGAAGGGTGTGGAGTTCATTTGTTTCGGTGTAATTTTGAGGGTAGACTGTTTTTGTTTTGTTTTGTGTGTTTGTTTTTCTTTGTGTGTGTGTGTGTTGCGGATTGTAAAAGAACTCGTGCTTAAAAATTAGAACTTGCTAAAAAAATTGCTGAAGTAAAAGTTTATCAAAAGAAATTATGGCTCTTGGTTTTACACAATGAAAGGGT